CATGTACCTGCTATGGAAGCGAGGCTAATATTAAGAGTTGCAGCTGTAGACGTTTTTAACAGGCTTTTCATAAAGGGAGTAGATTCTTTAAAGTCTTTAAAATTATATAGATCACAGCTTGTAAAAATTTTTAATCAAAAAGTATTAAGAGTAAACCAAATGTGAACAAGAAACATTTTTTTACAAAGTAATAGATATGAAACGGAGTAATTTATGAGCAGTTACATGCACCGTATTTCTGTAACCTAACAAAATGCACCGAGACGTGGAAATGTCTGACCGGCCTCTTCGTGGCCACGACCCCAACAAGCTTGGCTCCAGGTTAGGAAGTCAGGCGGTCGGACAGTCAGAGGCTTCCTGCCTTCCAGCAGGGGGCGGAGGGCTGACCGCAGGAGGGCTGACGGTGTCTCAATTCTGTGGTCTTCTTCCGAGCTTCGTGTGTCCCACAGGATTTTCATTTAGCCCTTCACCCACAGGCACGCAGACTCTGGGAAACCAGTTCGTTCCCAGTGTCTGCCTCCTAAAAACCCAGCAGATAAACCAGCAAGTCAGTTCACTGACTCACAGTGAGAGGTGTCAGAGTCTACCCGACAAAACCACCAGATCGACTGGCTGGCGTGTTCCTGTGGGAAAGGCTGGGGGGCACCAGGGCACCAGGTTCTCAGCGTCCAGCATCTCAGGCTGCGGAAACTCAGGGCACCCACTCTGCTTCCAGACACAGAACTGTCGGGAAAACTGGAACCTGCATGTGGCTTCTCCTCCAGATACGCTTCCCGGCGCCCTGGGGCTCTTCCTCGCTGACTCGACGGTGGAAAGCTCCGGGGAACGTCCCTCAGCGGACAGGAGCCCTGGTCCCCTTTCCCGCATGTGACACCCGTCTCCCTCTGCTACTTTCTCCAGTGTTCCATCGAGTGTGGCAACGGCACCCAGCAGAGGGAGGTGATCTGTGTTAGGAAGAACGCAGACACCTTTGAAGTGCTGGACCCCCGTGAATGTTCCTTCCTGGAGAAACCCCCCAGCCAGCAATCCTGCCACCTCAAGCCTTGCGGGGCCAAGTGGTTCAGCACAGAATGGAGCGTGGTGAGTCGTGGAGCTCCGGGTAGGGGCTGCATCCGTACATCAGCTTTCCTGCCACAGGCACCCAGGGCCCTCTGCTGGGCACCAGGCGCTGGGCTCAGCCCTCAACCAGATTCCCTAGTCGGGGCGCCCTGGACTCAGCCTGCTTGGTCTGGGGGAGCGTGAGGCTGGGACGGTCCTGATTTTTAAATGGTAGAGGCCATAAAACAGTGACTCGCAGGCTTTTGTGTGCATAAAAATCAGCTGGGATCTTGTTTGCAAAGACCAGTCCCGGGTCCAGCCTGGCCAAGGAATTTGCTCCTTGGGTGAGCTGGCTCCAGCTGTAAGACTCCTGTGGAGGACTGATGGCCGAAGGGGTTCAAGGATGCTGTTGAGAATACAGCATGCATGAAGTGACCTCGTGATAAAACGCACTGGAGGAATTTGTCAGGCCTCCGCACCTGTGTGTGTGTGTGTGTGTGTGTGTGTGTGTGTGTGTGTGTACAGTTTTTAAAATTGCTACAGACAATATGGATTATGGGACTGATCCCATTTTTCTCTTTGAATTGGCTGCCAGGGAACTCAGAGCCAAAACGGTGGTCCAACTCTAAGAGAGAACTTAGCAGAACTTACAAAGTGGCTTAAAGGTGCTAATGTTCCCCGGCTTCTCTCTTCTTCCTACTTTTATCTTCTTCTTACCCCAGCTTCCTAATTTTTTTTATATCTTGTGGTTGTCTAAGTATTTCATAAACCTTCTCAAATCCTTTTTCTAAGGAAGGAGGGGAGTGTGTAAATGAAGAGAGACAGAGACAAAGACAGAGTTAGTACAGACACAGGTGACTAAGGCAGGAAATGGCAAAGGATGGAAATAGTGATACATCTTTTTTTTTCAAGTGGAAGAGTTTATTTTTAAGAAACTTCCTAAAACAGAAAACCTCCTCAAGCCATGTTCCTGGTGACCAGTTAGCACAGCTTGGACACAGGGGGACGGGGGTTCTTTCTACTTTTTATCACGAGAGGTCTTCAAGCAGTGGCTGTAGGTGAGCCCAGAGCAAAACCAGAGCCTTTATCAATATCGTTCAAAGGTGATCGAAGGGATTTGCTTATAAAATACATGAATACAAGCTGAGAATTCCGTTTCCAAACTATGTATGTCTGCTCTGGTGACAATGGCCATTTGGGCACGTGGTGACCCACACCTCGGAGGCAAATGGCAACAAGGGAGGTGCTGAGTTTCAAAGGTGCTCTGCCGACTTCTGAGAAATACCATTGAATTATTTTGATGTTGGCCAAGGCCCTTGAGAACACAGGCACAGAGCACCATTTTCTTTTGCCCTTTGGTTTGGAGAGTCTAGAAAAGGCCAGGCTCACCAGGCCACATCAAAGGAGACAAACTCCAACACACCTGCCAGGAAGCCACCCAGATGTCCCTCACCTGGTCAATGGATAAAGAAACTGGTGCATGCATCCAAGCAACGGGTACCACTCGGGAACAGAAACAAGTGAACTGATACTTCCCATGACATGGAGGAGCCTCAAATGCATTTTGCTAAACGAAAGACCCCAAAAGCTACATATTGTATGATTCCATTTACATAATATTCTATAAAAGGCAGCACTGTAGGGGCAGAGGCCAGACCAGTGATTGCCAGAGGAAGCGGGCTGTGCGAATCTCACTGCAAAGAGATAACACAAGGGGTTTTGTTGTGTGTGATGAAACTTTTGCCTCATTGGCAGTGGGACACACGTGACTCTCTGAATTTGTCAAAGCTCACAGAACTGAGCACCACAAAAAGTGAATTTTTCTGCATGTAAGTTGAAAATAAATAAGTAAGCTGAAACAAATGTGAAATAAGTATTTACTATGGTAGCAAAGATGGTGACAAAAGCTGGACATTTTTTAATTTATCTTGTTTTATAAATTTGAGTTTGCAACTAAGTAAATATTTTATATAATTATAAGGCAAATTTTTTTAAAAAGAATCCCTAAAAATGGAAAATGCAATGAAGCAAATTAACCTAAATGTGTACCCAGCTGGTGGCATCAGCACACTTGCAGGTGGCTCTAAACCACAGTAATTTGACTGTCCATCACTAAACCCAGAAAGAGCCGCAGAACAACGTTTACATTGTTTGCAATAATCACATTTTTGAGTGACAGCTGCCATACTGTGTTCTGAGGTGGTTGGGTATACAATGTGTGATCAGGTAAATGAATAATCTGCTTTATGGAACTGGAAGTGTGGTGGTGCATATATGGTAATATGATGGTATGGCTCTGTTATCCCCAACATCCCTGAGAAATAGGAGTCTCAACTTAGGAGAAAGAAGATACAGACAAAAAATAGAAGAGATTTAAGTGAAAATCCTGTTGTTATGATGAATTAGAAATAACAGTATGAAATTACAAATTAATTTATCTTAAAGAAATTTTGTTCCTGTCTTACCCATTGAAAGAGCCTAGAAACAGTGAGCAAGCCAGCAGCAAAGGGCACGCCCATCAGCCAGAATGCAGTTTCACAATACCCCTCTGCACTAAGAGGAGCCGTCCTTCTTAGAGAGTGGCTGGTTCCAGGTCCGGGGCTGCACAGGTAGAGATCAGACTGGGATGTCTTTTCCTACCGGGAAGCAAGGAAGTTCTCAAAGGCAACTGAGTTCACGTCCAGAGGACTCAAGAATCAGCTTTTAGGGGCTCCTGCTATCCACTGACGGGGCATCAATGTGCCTCAGAAAAAATAGTAACTCCCGTAGATTGAACGAAATACACTGTGTATGTTTAATCCATCCATTTATTAGAAGCTTATATGATAAAAAAAACTAATTAGAGGACCCACCATTGGTGGATATTCAGGCAGCCTACTCACTTCTGAAACCTGATAAAGAAAATGATCAAGCATTTACCCTTCTTCCCTAAACAAGCTGTGCCCCTGGGTAAGCAGAGACTACGCGTATGTAAGGAGTGGCGGGGGGGGGGGGGGCTTTAGATTTCTGGCTTATAAAAGAAGAGGTGACGGGGTGTTACCACCATTTTTCAAAGCCAAATGAACTAACCAGTCATGCATCTCCCACTGCAAGCAAGACCGAAGTTTCATCACACACAGCAGATCCCCATGGGTCGTTTCAGCCCCGATGAGCTACTGCCCTTCATGGGCTGCCAGCTGCCCCCAAAGAGAGACCACCACACTCATCCTGTGAAGTAGTCTCAGCACCAGAAGACCAACCCTGCACCTGTCAGGGCCTCTTCTGGATCCAGCTTCCAGTTTACAGGAAATATAGAAGACAGAGGAATGAGTTAACCTGTTCCGTGGGGATGCGGTCAGCAAAATCCAGACTGTGGATAACTCCACAGGACCAACGACTCAGCTCCTCCAACAAGTGAGGTGCAAGGGGAGAAACACAGGGGAGGAGAACCTGTGGATTAAGAGAGTCATAGAGGGCATATCCACCAAGTGCAATGTGCAGACCTGATGTGGGTCCTGATTCAAGAAACAGAAAACTGTGTTTAAAAATCAACATGTAAAAAATTGGAAACAGGAGCACCGAATATACATTTGAAGATATGTAGCTATTGTTTTGGTGTTTTGGGTTTTTGTTTTATTTATTTATTTATTTTTGGGCTGGGGGGGGGCGGTAATTAGGTTTATTTATTTACTTATTGACTTATTTTAATGGAGGTACTGGGGATTGAACCCAGGACTTTGCATATGCTTAGCAGCACTCTACCCCTGATACAGAACTATTGTTAATTTCTAGGTGTAATACTGGTATTGTGGTATTTTTATGAGTCCTTGTCTTTTAGAGCTATAAACTGAAACATTATGGAAGAAGTGATATGATGTTTAGATTTGCTTCAAAATAACGTGAGGCACGGACCTGGGTGGGGTGTAGGTGGGAGCGTGACTGGCCTGGAGCTGGTGGTGTGGAAGCTGGTTGATGGGCGGGGGGAGTTCGGTTTAATACTCCGTCTCCTTTTGGAGATGTCCGCAACTTTCCGTTATCCGCCTTCTCCGGCGCGCTGCGCCAGCGGGCTGCGAGGAAGCTGACCCCCCCCCCTCCCCGTGCAGTGCTCCAAGAGCTGCCAGGGCGGCTTCCGCGTCCGCGAGGTGCGCTGCCTGTCGGACGACATGACCCTAAGCAGCCTCTGCGACCCTCAGCTGAAGCCGGGAGAGAGAGAAACTTGTAACCCTCAGGACTGTGTCCCTGAAGTTGGTAAGTAGAGACTCCTCTCCTGGCGTAAAAGACTCGTCTTTCTTAAGCTCCGTCAGGGCCCCTGGTGTGACACGGCCAAAGCCGTCTAGGCCTCTCCGTGACCTTGTGCAGAGTCACGGAGTTCGGGGGCCGAGGGGGGTGGGTCAGCGCCCTTTTGGTGTAAATTTCATACTTTACGGGGGCTGTTGATAGGATCCAAGTCACCCGCCAACAGATAAGCCCAAATGGCAGTTGAATAAGATGGCAGTGAACTCAGAGAACTGGATCCATCATCCCTAAGGTCAGAGTAGAGAGGTCTCAGCTTCACGTTTAAAGCAAGCGTAGAGGCTGTCGTCGCACCTCACGCCTGCCGTCGGCAGTAAGCAGCGGCCACCTCCGCGGCCGCCCTGGCGCTCAGGCCGCCTCCCTGTCCCCCCCGCCGCAGATGAGAACTGCAGGGACCGGTACTACAACTGCAACGTGGTGGTCCAGGCGAGGCTCTGCGTCTACAACT